TAGTTTGAGAGGGAGCTTGGAGGGGCCATACCCTGGGATGTGTAAGCACAGAGTCCAAACCGGAGGGCATCGGTACCACACTCAGGAATCCCTGCTGGGAAGTCAGCTTTCTACAGGAGGAGGCAGAGAGAGCAGCATCCCCAGTCAGCCCTGTCCACGTTCTGCTGGGATCCACTCCAAGGCTCTACCCTCCATACCTGCCCTTCTTTAGCCTTCTCCACCTCACTGAGATCCAGGTTGCTGTTCAGTAACTGGTCATGGAGGCCCTGAAGGTGGAAATGAGAGTGGTCAGGTGGCCATGGCCATAGCCCAACAGCTGTTCCCAGCTAGTTCAGTACCTGCCCTACCTGTAGGGAGACTCCATGGATGACATCCAGGGGGTCGATGACATTGCCTAGAGACTTGCTCATCTTCCGGCCATGAGCATCACGCACAATGGCATGCAGGTAGACCTGCGGGGCAGGTGGTAAAAAGGCCAGTGAAGCTGAGATCCCTATCCCCTCCTGGTCCCAGTGTCCCCCACCAGGGTTTTCCCATTCTGCACCTCAGGCCCACAGTGTCCTCACAAGTTTATGCAGTGCGTTTATGTGAATTAAAGGCACTTCCTCCTCTGGGAAGAGGAAGCCTGGGCCACCATGTAGGAATTGCTGAGCGAAGCCCAGGCTGGATTTCAGTCCCACCAACCCCAGGCCAGGCCCATCCACAGCTAGCCACAGGCCTGTCCATGTGAAGGCTGAGCTATGACATGGGAGAATCGGTAAGGAGAGTGGAGGCTGTGGGAGGGTCTTGGCCATCTTCACACCTCTCTGAAGGGTAGCCTGCCGGTGAGCTTCAGGCCAAGCATGACCATCCGGGCCACCCAGAAGAAGAGAATATCGTGTCCTGTCTCCAGCAGTGTCCCCGGGTAGAACACACTGAGGTCTTCTGACTGGGGGTAGACCAAAGTGTAAAGGAGAGCAGCTCCTCTTTCAAGATCCCCTCCCTAACTGAGCTTAGTCTCAGGAACACACCTGTTTGGGCCAGCCAAAGATGGAGAAGGGGAAGAGGCCAGAAGAGAACCAGGTGTCCAATACATCCTCATCTGAAGAAGGCCAAAAGTCAAGTCAGAGGAAATGCGAGTAAAGACTGGAGCTCTGGCTGGGTCCCCCAACCTGCAAGGCCCCTGCCTTGCCTTGCTGGAGGCTGATCTTGTCAGGGGACACTCCAAACTCTTTAGCTGCCTTCTCTCGGGCCTCTGCCTCACTGCGTCCACTCACCCAGTACCGCTCATCAGGGTCCTGGGACAGATGAAATGAGTATACACAGGGGTGCCTCTGCCTTGCCCTGATCCTGCCCCCCGCCACCACCAAGGACCCAACAAACCCTTAACCCTCCTCACCCCCTACATACCCCACATTTAGCTCTGGCCCATCCTCACCTCCCCAGGGGGTACTGCTGGGTCATTGACAGTGATAAAGTAGGCTGGAATGCGATGGCCCCACCACAGCTGCCGGGAAATGCACCAGTCCCTGGTGCATTGGAAGAGGGGGAACCAGGGAGGCCATGAGGTGCCCCTGCCTGTACCCCTCCATCCCTCACCTAGCCATCCTCCCCCTATTGAGAGACCTGGCATACCGGATATTGTCCATCCAGGAATGCCATGTCCGTTGATGGGCCTCAGGAAGTATGCGGAGGTCACCCCGGGTCACGGCAGCACTGGCAGCCTGGGCCATCTCCCCACAGCGCACATACCACTGTGGCTTCAGCAGAGGTTCCAGCACATCCTTGGAGCGGCTGTGGTTGCAGGTGGGATGGAAGGGCCAGGCCATGAGCAAACCAAGGAGCTGCCACCCCTTCCCATCTTCCCTGGCCCCTGCCCTCACTTGCAAAGTGGCACCACCATGGGGTTGTCTTTGATGGCACGGAACAGTCCCTGCTCCTTCAGTGCCTCCAGCACTGCCTTTCTGGCCTCAAACCTGGGCAGGCCCTAGGTGAAAGAGAGGCCCGTCAAGGCAGTGCCTAGGTACCCCCTCGGCGTCCCTAACCTGTGCCTCTACAGCCAGTTAGCCTCACCAGGAAAGGTGGGGGCACATTGACAAGGGCCCCGTGGGAGTCCATGATGCTGATGGCCTCCAGCCCATGCCGCTGCCCAACTTCATAGTCATTCTGGTCATGTGCAGGGGTGATCTTCACCGCACCTGGGGTACATGAGGAGTGCCAGGGTTCCAAGAGACTCTGGAGCGCTTCCCGCGCTTACATCGTGTTGACACAGACGTGGTCTCCAATCACCCCGACACCCACTTCCCTAACACAGTTCCTAAGAACCAGCCCGAGTTCTGACTTCAGTTGAAAGTTACTTTTTCTTTGAGAGAAAAGGGACGGAGGTATGGCTTATGAACTCCAGTCTCTTACTCTCCTAACAGGACCAGTCCCCTGCTCACCTGTGCCAAACTCCATGTCCACAAAGTCATCAAAGACAATGGGGAGGCTCCGAGATAGGAATGGATGGATCACACTCTTCCCCTTCAGGTGCTTGGGATACAGAGAGATATCAAAAATGCACACAGGGCTGAGTCGAGACCCTTCTACTATTCAGGGCATCTAAACCCCTCTGAATCATCACTGATGGCTCCATCTTCAGGACTGGGAAAGGAGCCAGAAGATCAGTTACTAGCCCACTTTCCCTGGGTGACAGCCTGGAGCCTTAGTGTCTCCACCCTCCTCATAAGAACCCTTTTTAGACCAATATTTTTCCCCCAAAGGTGGGCAGTACTCCTAACCCCACCTGGTATCTGGGATCTTTAGGGTGCACAGCAACAGCCACATCTCCTAGCATGGTCTCAATCCGAGTTGTTGCCACTACCACCTCCTCATTGCTGTCTGGAAAGATAGAAGGCTTTGTGTTCTCAGCCCTGGCCCTTATATGCCTCCCCCACCCTACCTGGCCCACACCTGGTGCCTGTGACTCCCACCTGAGCCTTGCACTTTATAAGCAAAGGACACAAGAACCCCGAACTCCACTTTCTCCTTGTAGCCAGGTACAGTGAGCAGGGTGCGACCTGCCAGCTCCTTCTTATCCACCTGTAAGATAGGTATTTAGAGAAGTGGCCCAGGGGCTAGGGTTAGGGATGGATCAGAGATGGGAGGAAATAGGCTGAGGAGTGGGAGTACACCTCAATGTCAGAAATGGCGGAGTTCAAGGTGCAGGACCAGTTGACCAGACGGGTGCTGCGGTAGATTACTCCTTCTTCATGAAGCCGGACAAAAGCCTCAGTCACAGCCGCTGACAATTTCTGGAGTGGAACAAGTAGAAATCGGAGAACTGGCTCCTAGTACTTATGGGTCAGGCAGGCACACAAGGCAGTGGGATCCAGAAAGGTCCACTGGGCAGCACAAAGGGTACTTTACTTATGTGGGAGAAGGGGCTATGGGAGCACAAGGAAAGCAACAAGTCTGGTGATGCTGGGATGGCAGAGAAGCATCCAGGGAACTCAAGCTCCATGAGGGGGAGGCCCTGATTACGGCTGCCTAGAGAAATGTGGAGCCCCCAAGCAGGAACAGGAATATGACAGGTCATGAGGTAGGTTGGATGGTAGCATTTGCAGCTAAGCCCTCAGTGGTGTCTTAGGAGTGGGCTCTCTTCTATGGGTACCATACCAGGGAAGCCTCCCACTCCCACCCCAGCCCTGAGACCATGCCTACGCACAGGGTCCATAGTGAAACAGGCTCTATCCCAGTCCAAGGAGCTGCCGAGCTTCTTTAGCTGGTGGTAAATCCGGTCACCTTTCCTGGAAGTGGTCAGACAAGCCAAGACTAGCACTCAGGCATGGGCTCGAGGGACACATGAGGTGGCTGATGGGACTATGTGGGGATCACTCAACCCCCTGGAAGTGACCTGCACCCTGGAGCCAACTGACTCTACCTCTGTGAGAAAGGTGTGGCTCTGCAATCAGGGGTCATAGGTAAGGGAAGAGGCAGGGCTGTAATGCCCACAGGGATGCTCTGTACTCACTCCTCCTTCCACTTCCAGACCTCCTGAAGAAAGGCCTCCCGGCCCAGCTGGTGCCGGCTCAGTCCCCTCTCCCGCCACAGTTTCTTTTCCACAACCACCTGGGTGGCGATGCCTGCATGGTCACAGCCTGGATTCCACAGGGTGGTCTCTCCACGCATGCGGTGCCTGTGGGAAGGCATGAGGGACAGAAGGTGAGCCAGGCTGATGGAGCCTGGCACTAAAGGAAGCAGAGGCTTCTAGGCAGGGCAGTCAATAGATGCTTAGGAGAGAAAGGAGGGTAGAGCTGGGACCCTCTAATTCTAAAGCCAGTCAGGGAGAAAAAACTCACAAGAACAATCTGGAAAAAGAACAAAGAGGGAGCTCTTGCCCAACTATATAACCAAACATATGAGAAAGTTATGAGTAATAAAATAAGTTATCACAAAGCAACAGAATAGAAGAACAGAATGGTTTCAGAAACCAACCCACGCAAAGTGAGCAGTTGTAAAAGGAAGCATTTCTTATCAGTAGGATAAGAATGAGTCAATAAGTTTGTTTGAAACAACCAGCTACAAAAATCTCTCTACTTTCCTCTATATTCATGAAAATAAGTTCTACACGCATTAAAGTACTCAACATAGAAAAACAAAACTTGAGCTGGGGATCTAGCTCAGTGGTTGAGTATTTGTCTAGCATGCAGAGTTCCTGGGTTTGATCCCCAGTACTGAAAAAAAAAAAAAAAAACCCGAAATCTGAGGGTGCCAGAGTGTTATGCCTATTCATCCCCTCTCCCTCTCCTTCCTCAATCCCTTTTTCGCTACTTGGAAGGTTGAGACTGGGAGGATTATAGTTCAAGGCCAGACTGGGCAAACAGTTCATGAGACCCCATCTTGAAAATAACCAGAACAAAATGGACTGGAGGAGGAGTGGCTCAAGCAATAGAGTGCCACAAAGCCCTGAATTCCAACTCCAGTCCCACTAAAAAAAACACACAAAAAAACCAAACAAACTTGAGAAAAACATTAGAAAATGACATAGTCTCCAAGAATTTTTTAAAAAGAAAGAAAAAATAACATTGATAAAACATATTTATAATTTACAGGTAGGAGTGACCTGTAATAAGACACAAGAGCTAGTCATAACATTAATAAATTGACTAGATGGAAAGCTATAATCTCTCATCAAAGTTAAAAAAAAAAAAAAGAGAGAGCTAGACCATTCTGGAGAAAATGACTGAAATAAAGTAATGCTTTAGGAAGTGGAGAGATCTCCCATGCTCATGGATTGGTAGAATCAACATAGTAAAAATGTCGATACTCCCCAAAGTAATCTACATGTTTAATGCAATTCCCATCAAAATTCCAATGACATTCATTAAAGAGATTGAAAAATCTACCGTAAATTTATATGGAAACACAGGGCCACGAATAGCCAAGGCAATACTCAGTCAAAAGAACAATGCAGGAGGTATCACAATACCTGACTTCAAACTATATTACAAAGCAATAACAATAAAACAGCATGGTACTGCCAATTGCTCATGGATTGTAAATCAACATAGTAAAAATGTCGATACGCCAAGTAAATCTACATGTTTAATGCATTCCCATCAAAATTCATGACATTCATTAAAGAATTGAAAAATCTACTGTGATTTATATGGAAACACAAGAGGCACGAATAGCCAAGGCAATACTCAGTCAAAGAACAATGCGGAGGTATCACAAATACCTGACTTCAAACTATATTACAAAGCAATAACAATAAAAACAGCATGGTACTGGCAAAAAAACAGACATGAAGACCAGTGGAACAGAATAGAGGACCAGATATGAAGCCACACAACTATAGCAACTTATCTTTGACAAAGGAGCTAAAAATATACGATGGAGAAATAGCAGCCTCTTCAAACAAAACTGGGAAACTGGTTAGCAGTCTGCAAAAAATGAAACTAGATCCATGTATATCACCCTATACCAAGATTAACTCAAAATGGATCAAGGATCTTAATATCAGACCCAACTCTAAGTTGATACAGAAAGAGTAGGAAATACTCTGGAGTTAGTAGGTAGAAGAACTTTCTCAATGAACCCAGCAGCACAGCAACTAAGAGATAGCATAGATAAATGGGACTCATAAAACTAAAAAGCTTCTGTTCATCAAAAGAAATGGTCTCTAAACTGAAGAGAACACCACAGAGTGGGAGAAAATATTTGCCAATACACATCAGACAAAGGACTGATAACCAGAATATATAGGGAACTTAAAAAACTAAATTCTCCCAAAACTAATGAACCAATAAAGAAATGGGCAAGTGAACTAAACAGAACTTTCTCAAAAGAAGAATTCAAATGGCCAAAACACATGAAAAAATGCTCACCATCTCTAGCAATAAAGGAAATGCAAATTAAAACCACACTAAGATTCCACCTCACCCCTGTTAGAATAGCCATCATCAGCAACACCACCACAACAGGTGTTGGCGAGGATGCGGGGAAAAAGGAACCCTTTACACTGTTGGTGGGAATGTAACTAGTACAACCACTCTGGAAAAAAATTTGGAGGCTACTTAAAAAGCTGACATGATCTACCATTTGATCCAGCAATACCACTCTTGGGGATATACCCAAAAGACTGTTTACTCCAGAGGCACCTGCACACCATGTTTATTGCGGCACTATTCACAATAGCCAAGTTATGGAAACAGCCAAGATGCCCCACACTGACGAATGGATTAAGAAAATGTGGTATCTATACACAATGGAATTTTATGCAGCCATGAAGAAGAACGAAATGTTATCATTCGCTGGTAAATGGATGGAATTGGAGAACATCATTCTGAGTGAGGTTAGCCTGGCCAAAAGACCAAAAATCGTATGTTCTCCTCATATGTGGACATTAGATCAAGGGCAAACACAACAAGGGGATTGGACTTTGAGCACATGATAAAAGCGAGAGCACACAAGGGAGGGGTGAGGATAGGTAAGACACCTAAAAAACTAGCTAGCATTTGTTGCCCTTAACGCAGAGAAACTAAAGCAGATACCTTAAAGCAACTGAGGCCAATAGGAAAAGGGGACAGGAACTAGAGAAAAGGTTAGATCAAAAAGAATTAACCTAGAAGGTAACACCACGCACAGGAAATCAATGTGAGTCAACTCCCTGTATAGCTATCCTTATCTCAACCAGCAAAACCCTTGTTCCTTCCTATTATTGCTTATACTCTCTACAACAAAATTAGAGATAAGGGCAAAATAGTTTCTGCTGGGTATTGAGGGGGGGAGGGGAGGGGGGGAGTGGGTGGTAAGGGAGGGAGTGGGGGCAGGGGGGAGAAATGAACCAAGCCTTGTATGCACATATGAATAATAAAAGAAAAATGAAAAAAAAAAAAAAAAAGTAATGCTTTAGGAATTAACCAGCAGATGACCTGGAGAGATACAGTAACCTTTTAGAATTACTAGGCACATTAGAGGAGTGGAAATTGCTATAGAAACACACAGACACTGCACTTATACATTATTGTCAATGGCTCATCAAACTGTTATATTCATGACTTTATGAGTCAGTTTATTCCACTATATTCAGACTTTCTTGAAGGCATGGATTATAGCAACTCCATTCTTTTGCAGATTAAATAGATACCCAAGAAATGTCCTTTATGTCACAAAAACTCCAACAAGCACAGGGATGGGGATGAGGCCCACTGGTAGACTGCTTGCCTAGTATGTATGAGGCCCTGGATTCTTCCCCAAAACTGAAAAAAAAGCCACAAAAATAAAGATGGAATATAGATAGACAGACAGATAGATAGATAGATAGATACAGATATAGATAGATGTAAATTTGACCTTCCCACCTTCTGAGTAACTGGGATTACAGCTCTGCACCACCATGCTTGGCCCTCACATGTCATTTTTTTATTCCAAAAAGTTGATGTAAATCTATTTCATTAAGAGCCAGGTGGAGTGTCTGCCTAGTAAGCATGAGGTCCTGAGTTCAAACCCCAGTTTCGTCAAAAAAGGAAAAACAGAAGAAAAAAATTGACCTTTTTATAACAAGATACAGCTTTTGATGGTTTGATATAATCCCTTTCTATTAAAAAAAAAAAATTCACCTACAAGAAAATTACTCCCCCCTCCCCATCTGAGTAGCTAGCATGTCCTGGTATAGAGGCTTGGAAAGCTATAATTTTTTTTCAGTGACACATGGTCTCACTATGTAATTCAGGCTGGCTTGGAACTTGAGATCCTCCTGCTTCCATCTCCTGAGTTCTGGAATTACAGGCCACTACCCCCTGCAGAAAACTATAAATTTCTATGGATACATAAATATGTAAATAAATAGATAGGAAAGATCTGTAAAAATACACATGAAAGTGGTAACAACGTTTTTAGGAGGAAGTAGGTCTGGAGAGAGGTGGTCAAGAAGGCAACAGGAGACTTGAAATTTTACAATTTCTTTCAACAAGAGTATAGTCACAAAAAAAAAAAAAACAAAAAAAAAACCCTGTATATTCACAGCCAGGCGTGGTGGTGTATACCTATAATTCCAGCAGTAGGACAGCAGGAGGATCTCAAATTCCAGGCCAGCATGGACTATGAAGCGAGACTCTGTCTCAAAGAAAAAGTAAAACAAACAAAAAACTGTGTGTCATGGCACACCCTTGTTATCTCAGCTAATGGGGATGGGAGTAGGATGGGGGAGGAGGTAGTAGGAGGATTGTTGTGAGGCCAGTCTGGGCAAAAGCTCAAGAGTCTATCTGAAAACAAACTAAAACATAAAGACTGGAGGTGGCTGGGGGCCTGGCTCAAGCGTTAAGAGCATTTGCCTAGCATTCTCAAGGCCCTGGGTTCAATCTCCAGTACCACAAAAAAAAAAAAAAAAAAAAGAGAGAGAGAGAAAAAGAAAAGAAATATGTTCATTTATTTCTTGTCAAATTAAAAATGTTATTTTGGGGGTGGGCAGAAGGAAGGGGGAGGTGGCCCAAACAATGCAACAAATTAAAAAGAGAAAAAAAAATGTTATTCTGGCCAGGAGCCAGTGGCTCACACCTGTAATCCCAGCTACTCAGGAGGCAGAGATCAGGAGGATCAAGGTTTGAAGCCACCCAGGCTAATAGTTCTCAAGACCCTAATCTCAAAAATACTCAACACAAAACAGGGTTGGTGAAGTGGCTCAAGTGGTAGAGAGCCTACGTATTAAGCATGAGGCCCAGAGTTCAAATCCCAGTACCACCAAAAAAACAAGAAACAAATGTTATGAGGTAGAGCTCAGTGGTAGAATGCATGTTTAGTGTGCATGAAGCCTTGGCTTTAATCCCTAGTACAAGGGAGGAAAATCAGTAATACAACATTATTCTTAGTAGGTAGAGAAGGGAGAAGAGGGAGCCCGAGTAAGTGGGGTACAGGAAGGGATTACTTGACTGGAGAGGCTGCTAAATGATCAGATTGGAGTGACCTGGAGAGAGAAGTGTAGTGCCACTGGGGGGCAGAGCAAGGCCAACCAACACAGGAGAGGCCTAAAGGTCAGTCAAGGAAAAGAAGGGAGCCAGGGAGGGCAGATGGCACCAACTGGACGTGCAGACAGGACCTCACCATCGAGTCAGGGAGTCCTGGATGGCGTTGGTGAGCGCGTGGCCCAGGTGCAGGGAGCCTGTCACGTTGGGGGGTGGGATGCACATCATGAAGACTCCTCGGGGATTTGGCGCTGACACGTTAGGACGCTGATGGCGGAGAAGGATGGGCACATGCTAAGGCCTCATGTCACCTCATCCAGCCCCCTCCCAGCCAATGGATCCTTCAGCCCTCCCCTTCCCCAAGCTCATCCCAGTCAGGGCCTACTCACTCCATACTCTGGCTTGAAGAAGCCCTGCTGCTCCCACCATGGGTACCAGGCAGCCTCCACATACTGGGGACTGTAGGAGTCAGGCATGGTGCCACTGACATCTGGGAAGAGCAAGGGAGGCTTCAGCACTAAGGTTTGATGTAGCTGGGGAGGGACAGGCCCGCACAGAAGGACCAGGGCATAAGGTCAGGTATTAGGGTGCTCTGCAAACCCTCACCAAGCAAAGTAGAGGGAATCAGGACAGAGTAACAAGGGGTAAAAACTGGGAAGGAGCAGCTAAAGGGTGGGTCCCTTCCTCACTTTGTACCTTTCTTTTCCCCAGGTGGAGTTGGGAGGTCATAGGTAATGACCCCAGGATCCCGCTTCTCCTTCTTCTCTGGTTTTGGTTTCTTCTGCTTGGAAGAGAGAAGACATAGGCCTAGCCATCATTCACCTACCCTCCTCCCAGCTCTACTCTTAGCCTCTCACCTCCCCGGGCGGTGGTTGCTGCTGCTGGATCTTCTGCTTCTGCTGGAATTTCTCTAGCTTCTCGCGTTTCTTTGCCTCTTTCTTGAGCTGAGCTGCTGTCTTTGGGGCTGCAGGAAACTCAGGGCCTGGAGAGAGGCATAGAAATTCAAACAGCCTACTGGGGACCCTAATGAACAATGCTACTAAGTTTTGGAAGGGTTCTTTCAGCTGCCCAAGAGCTCTAGTAATCACCCCCCTTACCCACCCACTGGCCCCTACCCCAGTGCTATAGCCATTTGTAAGATAAAAGATCCCAGGGGAGCCCCTATCTTCCTCTACCCCCACTCACATGGCTGTTGAAAGAGAGACCTGGTCCCTGAGTACAGAACCACTTCTCCCAGCACAGCCCGGAACTCTGGTTGCCGGACACAAGTGATAAACCAGCGAGTCACATTACCCCAGATCCGGCGTGCAGAGGGGTCTAGGACCTGGGAAGGAAAAGAAATAACTACCTTAGTCACTCTACAGTGAAGTCTGACAGAAGTGCTCTTGTTCCTCCCCAGGCCCAAGTGACTCACATATCGGAAAGGTAGCAGCAAGGCTGTCACAGCAGCCAGGTCAGCCAGAGTAGGAGCATCTCCAGCCAGGAAGGTGTGTACCCGAAGCCACTCCTCTAAGGGGCTAAGGGCCTTGCCCAGGGCCCCCAGCGCAGCCTGGCAGAAAGGGGAATGGATGTGAGACAAGACTTGCCCACTTCAATGCCGCACCACCCACTCCAATATGATCCATTTGGCTTCACGTCTCTTCATAAATCCTATTACTACTAGTTCCTATTTCACTCAAATGGTCATAATGAACATACTTCTAAATGGGGTGTGGCTCAGTGGAAAAGTGTGTGCTTAGCATGAAAGAGGTCCCAGGTTCAATCCCCGACAAGTATATATGGTATATGTAAGTCAATTAATATATACGTATGTACATATTTCTCGCTTACATATATACACGTACATATATAGATACAGTTCTCATTTATCCAACGACTCCCTATTGAACACTTATTACTGTAGTGTCAGATGAAATATATTAAGCACAGAAGTTGGAGTAAGGATAATATGAGGCAACCTAGTAATCGCTAGACTTAGGGCAACCACATACATATTCTACTGAGGGAACAAATAAAATGGATTCTCTTATTTTTTTTTTTTCTTAACTCCTATGAAGAAAAATAAGCAGGGTACCAGGAATTTCCAGAAAAGAGGGATTCTGTTTTAGTTGTGGTGATAAGGATAAGAGGGAGCAAGCCAGTGTCTACTCTGTTATATGTTCATTCATTCATTCATTGGAGAATTATTAAGCGTCCACCATATGCTCACTACTTTGCAGGAGGTGGAGTCTTAAATACACTAAGGCGTAGCCTTACTCTGAAAGGATTTACACTGACAATCTGGTGGGGTTATTGTTCCTCTCCCTTCCCTTTCTCCTTTCATTTCTCCTTTATCTCCTCCCAACAACTGTCATCTCTCCTTCACCCAGTCTTTTCTTACAATTCAAAGTTAAGTTTATCCTCGTTAATTTCAGATTCATCACCCTTTTACTCAAAAACTAAAATGCCTAGTACTCGACTAACGTCCTCTGTACACATCTTTTAATTTCATTAAATCAGTGAAGCAAGTGTTGCATCACTTTGCATTTTCATAGACATAGGGAGACCAAGACTCAATTTAAAAAACGTTCCTAAAGTTACCACAACCAAGTAGCAAACTGGGATTTGATAATTTTTTTTCCATACCTCACTTTAACTATTTTACTGTATCATGAATTCTAATCCTTGCTTCCTTCCTCTAACTACCCTCCCCCGCTTCTCTTTTCCCCTCTCACCTGGGGGTCCTGGGCTGGGCTTCGGAGTCCTAGGGCTGGTAGAGTTGCCCCACAGGCTGCTGGTATTAGCTCCGTGTCGGCATAGTTGACCCACTGTTGGACTAGGACAGCTGCCCTGCTACCCCCGGGGCCCCCCAGGCCTGCTGGCCACAGCAGCTGAGCCACAGCCGTGGCCCCCCACACCCAAAGGCCACCCGGGCCCTGCTCCAGGGCGGGAAGGCGAGGTGGGGGAAGGGGAGTCCGGCTGGTCGGGGGTGGCTGGAGACAGATGCGGGGATGAGCGCCTCCCCACCCAGGACCCTCCCCGGCCTCCCCATAGCGGGCGGCTATGAGGGCTCGGAGGCTGGGGAAAGCATCTGGATGAGGGGACACGTAGAGGATGGACATATTCAGGTGGGGGTCCGAACGAGGTCGAGAAACCTAAGGAGAGCGAGAGACAGGGGAAGGCTCAGGGACCTTGGGAGTCCTAGATTTAAGGAGAGAGGACCCTCACAAGGGCTTCTCTGCTGCAAGCGTCTGACCAGGCCTCGGGAGCTGAGGATTTGGCTCTAACATTAGTGGTGAGGGTGGAAGCGCCTGGGAAGAAGGGTCGGGGACCCCACGGTCGCCGGGCCTCGGGAGGGTGGGAGGTTCGCGGGAACGGGTCGGCGTCCGGTGGGACGCTGGCTCAGGCCGCGTGTACGTACTGGCAGGAGGTGGTCTGACTGAGCTGGGAATCCACCTCGCAGCCGAGCGCCGGCCGCAGCTGAACAGGTGGGGAAACCCGAGCAGAGAAGTAGGCGGGTGGAGATGGTAGGCGGTCCTCTGGCGACCCCGGTTCTCGGCGACCGCCGCTGGGGCAGTCGGCACCCACGTGTTCCCCCTTTTGTGACAGCGAGTTTCCGGGCCCGCGGGTCCTGGCAGGGCAGCCGTGCCCCGCCTGTGTGTGTGCGCGCACTGCCCCGCCCGACCTGCTTCGGAGGCCGCCCGCCGCCCGCCGCGCTCACGAGGAACCGCGCGGAGAGCGGGAGCCGGCGCTGGCCGGGAGGACGTGCGCTGGGGCCGAGCAGTGCTCTCATCAGGCGCCGTCGCGGGCACCCCGCGGGGTCCTCGGGCAGGGCCGCTAGGCTGCGCCCAGCGGGCAGCGGGGGAATCAGCTGAGGAGCGAGCGGCTGGTGGGAAAGGCTCCTTACTGCTGAGACCCGTCAAGGGTATTGGGAATGCAGTTGCTGGCTAAAGGAATGATTTTAGTTAAGTCCCAGATGTAACTTTCTCCACCACACATCACTTGTATTTTATCTTCCACCTTGAGAAAAACTGCAATCATTTGGCTGGGTTGAGGAAGAAATGCGGCAGTATTAAAGGCATTTTCGGGCTGGCGAAGTGGCTCAACTGGTGGAACCTAGTAAGCGTTGAGGCCGAGTTCAAACCCCAGTACCACCACCACCAAAAAAAAGGCATTTTCATGGGGCGGTTATCTGACAAGAGCATTTGCCCAGCATGCACAAGACCCTGGGTTCTATTCCTAATATAGCAAATACAGTGCCAAGGGTATTTTTTTGTCACATTAATGTAAAGACGTGGAGATGGAAGCACTCCAATTGCAAGCAAGCAAAAAGACAGAAGGAGAACGTGTTGGTAGGGCACGTTCAGGAAACACAGGGTAGTACAGTTGAGGTATTGTAAGTTTTATGCCAAAGGCAGATAATGCAGGGAAGTTGGGCTGGATTCTTCTCTGGGGAGTTCATTCAGGGCTTAAATGAATTCAACACCCTTTTCCATCATCTCTCCCTGCCCCCCACACACACACCAAAATACAGACCACAGAACCAGAACTCAATTTTGCATCATAAATTTTATTCCCGATGCGGGATAGATTCCTTCTGTCCCCCAAATGAATCATATGCTGCCCTAGAAAGAACTAGGAAAACTCTCATTGTCTCCAGGGAAAGAGAAAGGCAGATGCTGGGACTGCCAGGGCTTTGCAGTTAGTGGCCCAGCCTTCTTATCCTTCCCTTCTCAACAGGGGATAGCTGCTCCCCACTATTACACTATTAACCCCCTCATCCACTCAATCCCTTTATTTTTTAAAAAAACCCATCACTATTTAAAAAAAAACAAAAAAACACCTCAAGTATGGAGGGAAAGGTTCTCAACAAGGACATGAAGTTATGGGTCATCAATGGATAAGGGAGTGGAAAGAGATCAGGAGCCATCACTGTTTCTGCTGCAGGGCTTCCTTCCTTGCTGCATCCTGTAGCAACTGTGTGTCCACCTCATCTGCTGGCAACTGCACATAGCGGACCACTGAGCCCCGGATGAAGCAGTTCTTCACTGATAACTGGACACAGACAAATATGAAAACACTCTTTAAAATGTCCTTCAAGCACCAGGGACCTCCTGCTTTGGTGTTTTCTCCACCAACCCAAACTCACCATGTGAGGATATTTTTCAGGATCTGTGACACTGATGTCAGTTAGTTTGATGTTGAGATACTAAGAAAGGAAGATGAACACCATCATTAACCCTAACATCCAGATGCCAGTAACCTTACTTCCCCAAGGACAAATTGTGAACCCCTGCTATATCTCACCTGATCCACAGAATGGAGGGTTCCACAGATACTGTCAAGGGCAAAAAAAAAAACAAAACAAAAGGAAAGAACCAAATTAATTTATATTGAAAAAATTGAGGTTACTTCGGAGCTAGGATGAGAATATGGTTGTGTGAACTCAATGCCTTGAAGAAGCCAGAAAAAGGTGGAATGAAAAGGGAGCATTCCTAAGCCCTAGAGTAGGAAGACAGAGCGGGCAGAATGGTTTATTATTTTAGACCCCATATCTTCTTTCTCAAAACCAACCCATTTTTAATATCTACCATAAACAATTGCTACCTGTATTCTGCATAGTATTTCTAATTTTTATCTTTCCAAGGTAGCTAACACCATCCAGGGGGGCTCGAGAGGTTGTGTAACCTACCCAAGTTTAGAACAAATAAACAAAAACATCAGTCCAGGTCTGCCTGACTCCCGGAATCATCAGCTATTTTTAAACATTTATTGCTCTGGAACCAGAGTCCCATTATGTGGATAAAAGTAGCTAACACTATTCTTGATAATGCAATCACAAGCCAAGTTCTCTCCCCTTCCCAGTCCTGGAATGCCTTGAAATGTTAATGAGGAATGCTATCTAAACACCAGTGCTCCAAGCCAGGGTGTCTTCCAATTTCTTTTTTTTCCTTCCAACTTCTTTTATATTAATAGCAATTTTGAAGTCTTACAAGTTCAAATCTTGACTTTTACTTCTTTACATGTCCTGTGAATACCCACTGACTTGAACACTTCTGTAATTCCTTTTCTAGTTAGACTTCTACAAACCAAGGTCTTACTACTTTGCACCTCCAGCCCAGCCTCCCATGTGACCACACTGACCATAACCATGTTATCACTTGGTTCTCAAAGATTTCATGAGTTCATGTCAAAAGAGGAAACACAGGAATATACATTGAGTGTACATGTGATGTGCTAAAGATGGCCAAGTTTTTCCTAAGAAAACTGATTTTTACTTGTTTTTTTTTTCATTTTTCTTTTATTATTCATATGTGCATACAAAGCTTGGTTCATTTCTCCCCCCTGCCCCCACCCCCTCCCTTACCACCCACTCTGCCCCCTCCCTCTCCCCCCCCTCAACCAGCAGAAACTATTTGCCCTTATTTCTAATTTGTTGTAGGAGAGTATAAGCAATAATAGGAAGGAACAAGGGTTTTTGCTGGTTGAGATAAGGATAGCTATACAGGGCATTGACTCACATTGATTTCCTGTGCGTGGGTGTTACCTTCTAGGTTAATTCTTTTTGATCTAACCTTTTCTCTAGTACCTGTTCCCCTTTTCCTATTGGCCTCAGTTGCTTTAAGGTATCTGCTTTAGTTTCTCTGCGTTAAGGGCAACAAATGCTAGCTAGTTTTTTAGGTGTCTTACCTATCCTCACCCCTCCCTTGTGTGCTCTCGCTTTTATCATGTGCTCATAGTCCAATCCCTTGTTGTGTTTGCCCTTGATCTAATGTCCACATATGAGGGAGAACATACGATTTTTGGTTTTTTGAGCCAGGCTAACCTCACTCAGAATGATGTTCTCCAATTCCATCCATTTACCAGCGAATGATAACAATTCGTTCTTCTTCATGGCTGCATAAAATTCCATTGTGTATAGATACATTTTCTTAATCCATTTGCTCTTATTTTTTCTGATATTAAAAAGAAATTGCTGATGGACAAATGGGACTACATGAAATTAAACAGCTTCTGCACAACAAAAGAAATGTTCTCTAAATTGAAGAGACAACCCACAGAGTGGGAGAAAATATCTACTAGCTATACATCTGACAAAGGTCTGATAACCAGAATATACAGAGAGTTCAAAAAACTAAACTCCCCCAAAATCAATGAACCAATAAAGAAGTGGGCAACTGAACTAAACAGAACTTTTTTTAAGGAAGAAATCCAAATGGCCAAAAAACACATGAAAAAAATGCTCACCATCCCTGGCCATAAAGGAAATGTAAATCAAAACCACACTAAAATTCCACCTCACCCATTAGGCGCTTTACCACTCGAGCCGCACCTCCAGTCATCCTCACCCGCTAGCATGGCTAACATCAAGACCACCACCAACAACAAATGCTGGCAAGGATACAGGGGAAAAAGGAACCCTAATACACTACTAGTGGGAATATAAGGTAGTACAACCACTTTGGAAAACAATATGGAGGCTCCTTAAAAAGCTAAACATAGATCTGCCATATGACCCAGCAACACCACTCTTAGGGATATACCCGAAGGATGCAACTCAAGTTATTACAAAAGCATCTGCACACCCATGTTTATTGCAGCTATTTACAATAGCCAAGCTATGGAAACACCAAGATGCCCCACAATGGAGGAATGGATCAAGAAAATGTGGTATTTATACACAATGGAATTTTACTCAGCCACAAAGGAGGAGGAAATTTTGCCATTTGCAAGTAAATGGATGGAACTAGAGAACATCACCTTAAGCAAAGTTAGCCACGCTCGGAAGGCCAAAAATTGCATGTTCTCCCTCATATGTGGATTATAGACCCAAAACAAATGCAGTAGTATTATTGGACATGGGTCAACACTAAGAGGAGAACACAGATGGGGGAATTGGGAAAGGAAAGGAGACCTAAAACTTGAATGTGGTTGATGTGCTCCCTGTTGAGAAGTGAATAAAGTAATCTTAAATTGCCAGAGGCCACTATGGGAAGGTGACCAGGAAGTAGCAGAGAGGGCTGGAAGAAAAAACCAGTGTGGGTTGCAATATACAAGTGCATGCAGGCAACACTAGGAATCTCTCTGTATAGTAGCTATCTCTATCCCAAACTAGCAAAAACGCTGTTTCTTATTATTTCTTATGTTTTCTCTCCAACAAAATGAGAGAAGAGGGCAGAACGGGTTCTGCCTGGAAGGAGCAGGGGAGAGGTGGCACAATGTACACTCATGTAAGTAAATGTAAAAACTCTAAAATAAAAGGAGAAAAAAATATATATATATATAATAATTAAGCTGGGTGTGGGTGGCTCAAGCCTGTAATCCTAGCTACTCAGGAGCAGAGATCAGGAGGATCCTGGTTCAAAGCCAACCTGGGCAAATACTTGCTGAGACCCTGTCTCAACAGAACACTTCACAAAAAGGGGCTGGTGGAGTGGCTCAAGTGGTAGAGCACCTACCTAGCAAGAATGAGGCCCTGAATTCAAACCCTAGTACTGTCAAAAAAAAAAAGCATAAAATGGGTATCATTTTATTCAATTCCTAAAGAGGAAAAAATATAGCACAGAAACCTCCTTTCTAGAAGGCAAAGTCCCTCTCCTCATCATTCCCTGCCATGTTAATGTCTCCTCTCCCCAAGAAATCATCTCATAGAAATGTGGAAGGCACTGCTGGGGAGAGAATACATTGATCCATCTAACAGACAATTAGCCAACAGGCATCAATATTGAAATGTACATTTCATATGAGGGTTTTTTCCCAAATAAACAATCAGGAATGTACAAAGGTGTACAAATGAGGATGTACAGGCAGCATCTTTGTAAAAAAACAGAACTGAAGCTGGGCCATAGTTGCTTACACCTGTAATCCTAGCCACTCAGTAGGCAGAGATCAGGAGGATCGAGGTTTGAAGCCAGCCCCAGCAAATAGTTTCAGAGACACTATCTTGAAAAAACCCATCACAAAAAAGGGCTCCTGGAGTGGCTTAAGGTGTATGCCTTGAGTTCAAACCCCACTACCAAGAAAAGAAAAAAAAAACACACACATAGAGAATTGAAAACAGTCTAGGTGATCAACAGCAAGGTCTGGGTTAAATTAGTTGCAGACATCCAATAAATATGCCATTCCGGGCTGGGTGGGTATAGCTCAGTGGCAAGCTTGCCTAGCATGTAAAAGGCCTAGGTTTAATCCCCAGGACCTAAAAAAAGGCTGGGCACCAGTGGCTTACACCTGTAAGCCTAGATTTTTGGGAGGCTGAGTTAAGGAGGATGGTGGTTCTGAGCCAGCAAAAAAGGTTTGACACCCCTGTGTCAGCAGAAAAAAGCTGGGTGTAGTGGTACAGACCTGTCATCCCAGCTACAATGGGAAGCCTAAAATAGGAGGACTTTAGTCCAGGTGAGCTGGACAAAAAGTGAGATCCTATCTCCAAAATAACCAGAATAGAAAGGGTTGGCGGTATGACTCAAGTGGTACAGTGCCTGCCTAGCAAGTGTGAACTCCTGAGTTTACTAAATCCTATACTGTTAAAAAAAAAAAATGTTGAAGGTCAACTTTATTAACATGAAAAATATCCACAACATAGTTAAGTGAAAAGCAAGTTTCATAATGGTACAGAGCATATGCTTTTTTTTATTCAGAGAAAAAAAAAATTAGTGCCAGCTGCTGTGGCTCACCTCTGTAACCTAGCTATTCAGGAGACAGAGATCAGGAGGATGGTGGTTCGAAGCCAGACGGGGCAATAGTTGGTGAAACCCTATCTCAAAAAAACTCTTTGCAAAAAGGGGCTAGTGGGGTGGCTTGAGGTGTAGGCCCTGAGTTCATGTGGCAGTACCATTAAAAAAAAAAAGAGACAGAATCAGATTTCTGTTTTGGCTGTGTCACTCATTAGTTTTATTCATTACAGCATGTCTCTTAGCCTACCCAGCTTCAGTTTCCTCATGTTTAAAACACCACTAATAATATATGTCACCTAGGCGTGTAGTCAAAACTAAATGAGTTAGTAAATGAATTCAGAGCAGTGCCTAGGGATAGGACATCTTCAAATGTTAGCTTATTTTCTTTTTGGATACCTGGCCTACATTAGGCATCGGATATGGTTGTGGGCTTAAATACTGACCTGGCCCTGAAGGAAGAACAAGTTATAAACAGAAAGCATACTTCTATGAAATCACAATTTGAGAAGCACTCACTGAGAACAAAATACTCTATGACAGAGGAATATGACCGAAGTACCAGGTAATCTCTCCAAGGATAAAGCATTTAATCCAAGTCCTGAATGAATAGGAGCCAATGATGTAAGGGGGTAAGTGATGCAGAATAAATACGTACAGAACGGACTGTTTTAAGTCTTCTGTTTATTGTTTACATTGTCTTTAGCAAAAGGGATCTTATGCTCCACACACTAATCTGCAACTGCTTTCTCTATTAATATCTAACTCCTATGTAACAGGTATAGAATATGAAAGTGCCCCAAATTTAATTAACCCATTACCTTTTTTTCTTTAACCCATTACCTTTTGATGAGATAACATGGACATTTGTTTCCCATTACTGGCTATTACAAATAAAGCTGAAGGCATCTTTGTACATCTATCTTTACTTCTGTAACTGATTCATAAATTTCTAGAAATTGGAACAAAGGTTATCAGAAAAAAACCATTGGTTTTGGAAAAACATTTATTGATACCTCCCCTCTGACTTCTCTCTAGCAGACACTGTATCCTGCTTTCTATTTTACAGCTAATCTTTAAGCTTAAGGCACAAGCCATTTATTTCTGTATTTCTGCCATCTTGCATAGATCTGTTTCTCAAATGGGTTCCAGTTCTCTGGGCACACTCACCGTCCACAGACTCGGTGGCACCTACCTCAGGTCATTCTTGAGTTCCACGACCACGTCCTTGCCCACAAGCGACTTGAAAAAGGAGTAGAAGAGCTGTTGGGCAAGAAGGGGAAAACCCGTCATATGGAAAGGGATATGGTAGCGAGGAGTGTCCCCGTCTGCATTTTCAATCACTGGTATTTGTATCCCCACCGCATCTCTGGTGTTCTCAAAATTTCACAGCAAAGAATACTGGTTGACAGGGATGAGAAGCTGAGGCCAAATGATTCTGCAAAGCTCATTGAGCTGCTCACTTAAAGGGAAAGACAGACAGAAACAGAGACGACAGGGAGACGGAGAGAGGAGGGAAAAGGGAGACAGATTCTGCTCTGAGCCCCTCAGCCCCCTTGCGCTCTCAACCTGTCACTTCTGGGTCCCTGCCCAGTCCTCCAGTGAACTGCAGACGGTATCCCACCCGAAGCCTGGCCTCGGACGGGGACTAGCTCCTCGAGAGCTAGTTTTTCCATCTCCTGCCGGCCCTGCCGACTTTCTCGCGGATGTTTTTTCCTCATGGAGGAAAAAAAAAATTTCATCCCAGTATCTCTTCAAAGAACTTGAGGCGCAGGGGCTGAGTATGGAGGGAAAGTCCAGGTCTCACTTCAGCCCAGAGGAACAAAAATACCAGACTCCCACCCAGTCCCCAACTGCCGAACCGCCCGCGACCCGCGCCGGCGCTCCCTTGTGACGTCACGGTACCCACCATGGTACTGGCGCCGCACGCTGCGGGTCCGACTGAGAAAGAAAGGGCCGATTGCAGCTGGCCAGAGGCCGGGCGGGAACTTGAGCGCGAGTCCGCGCGTGGGGAGGGGCGGGACCACGCAGGCGCAAATGGAGCACCGAGAAAACCTCCGAGTATTGATGGAGAGAGCGCGGCGGATTCGAAGCTCTGAGAGAGTGGATGGGATAGAGCCGAGGGAATGGTGAAGCCAGGAAAGGGGCGGGATTTCCTGTCTTCCGACATCCTCCTGGGGCGGTAGGCGCTCACCGCGCAGGCGTAGGTTGGGGCAGGCGCAGCGAGCGGGTGTTGGCGATGTTTGGTGCCTCTTCTCCAAGGTTTGTGTTTTTGTGACCGTGCTATGCACGGCGTGATTTGCTTGCACCCTACACACACTTCCTATTGAGAACTGTTACTGAGTTTGTTAAAATTATGATTTGTGCGCTCTTCAACAAGTAAAATTTAAAATGTTAAGTCCCGGGGGGGGAGAAATGACCCAAGCATTGTATGCACATAATAAAAAAAAAATAAAAATAAAATGTTAAGTCCCTGAGGTCGGGGAAGTCTTTACACAAATCCTGACTTTTAGCAAAGATTCTTAGTAAATCCATTTTTCCCAACCTAATATCCCCTAGTTACTCCTCCCTCCCCCCCCCCCCCCGGCCTTCTGGGTATTGAAGCCAGGACTTTATCGTAAGCAAATCTACCAATGAGCTGCACCCCCAGTCTCCATATTTCTTATTTTTGCCTAGAACTGTCTTGTAAAGAACTAAAACTAAGCAGTCTGGCTCGGGTACAAATAATCCAGTCTAATATGGCCCCCCCAAACATAAAGCTACAAATATGAAGTTATATACACTTCCATTCTTGTTCCTCAGATTTTGAAAAATAGGTGGAATTGTAATAGACAAAAGTTACTTTTGCTGAAAGGCAATGACCCCTTGCTTGGGCCCACAAATTAACTGAAAGGATAAAAGCTAGGCATCCCAGCTCCATTCTGTAGCTGTGTCCTTAATATAAGAATATGTAAGACAAGTGTAATGGCTCATAACTGTAATCCTAGCTACTCAGGAGGCAGCGATCAGGAGGATTGCCATTCCAAGCCAGCTGGGGCAAATAGTTCACCCCAATCCCAAAAATACCCAACACAAAAAAGAGCTGGTGGAGTGGCTCAAGTGGTATGAACAAAAGGAAGCCATGTTAAATCTGGACCCCTCCTCCTTGAAGATGACTTACTGTCACCTAAAGAAAAACAGACATCCACCTTTAGCCATTTACTAGAAACTCCCCACCTGGTCTAGAAGAGTGACCCATCCTTAAGCCATTATCTCCAAAGGTCAGAGAGACATTGAGGATTATCCCTCCCAGTAACCTTCCTAGGACTTCACCTACCTCCTTTTATCTACCTCCATTCTGTAGGTGGCTGTGGGCTTCAGCTCTTGCTGGGGACCCCCTTCTCAGGACCACTTCTCCACAATAAACCCTGTGCTGGTGTTTGAGCCGTCTCCCTGCCTATCCATTCTGCATCTCTTTCAGTCCAATAGTAGAGTGCCTGCCTAGGAAATGTGAGGCCTTCCAGTACCACCAAAAAAAGAAAGAATAAACTTCCTATTTCTCATCTTGCTAAAAGTACTCATTTGTCAGGAGTTTGTTGTAGCAATACTTTTTGCATGTAAAGCATGTAATGACTCATTGTGTTGATACTGAATCTCCTGGACCCCAACTATGCCAACAGAACATCAAGCAGTGTTTGCCCCAGCCCCAGCTGAATCTAAATACCTAAACCAGCCTATAACATTGTAAACAGTACCCACAGTTAGCAACTACTTCATCTGGCATAAAGGTGCCTGAGGATTGAAAATTTTCTGTTTCAAACAATGAGCTCATGAAAAATCCAAATACTTTGCCCTTACCAGTTTAATCATTCCCAATGAGCTCACAATCAGAAAACACATGCTGTCTATGAACTTTCCTTTTCCTTTCTTTTCCAGGTACACTCACAGCCTAAAGATACTAGAAATAATTTCCTTTGGGAACAGATTTACTGAGTGACACAAATAACCATCCACACAGAAAGGAGAAAGTTGGGGTGGCTGGAAATAAATAACAGACATTCAAATTCATCAGATGGTTCAAAAGAGGTTCCTAGTTTTCCTAAAAGTCCATTTCAGGGTCACAGATGTTCAGAGTATGAAAAGATGGTGTATAAGATTCCTCCATGAGAATTCCAAAGGGATGGTAACTTAGGTTCAGGTTCAGTCAATTCAAGAATCATGTTTGAAGATGAGGGTATAAAATTCACCTAGGGGCACCCTAGCACTCTCCAGTTCCAGAAAAGATTAATCTACTTCTTCAATGGTAGGGCCTGTGGTAGCCCTTCCAGGTGTATACCCTGTTCCACAGGTAGGCCCAGGGCATCCTCCTTGGTAGAGTTTTGTGATGACGGGGTTACACACCTGCTCCAATTCCTTTCTCTTATGATCAAACTCATCTTTCTCGGCCAGTTGATTGGCCTCCAGCCAGGAAAGGACTTCAGTACATTTTTCCAGTATTTTCTTTTTATCAGAATCACTAATCTTACCCTTCAAACCTTCATCACTTACAGCACTCTTCATGTTAAAAGCATAGGATTCTAAAGCATTTTTTGCAGAAATTTTCTCCCTCTGGACCTCATCTTCAGCTTTGTATTTCTCTGCATCCAGAACCATGCACTCAATCTCCTCCTTGCTCAGGCGGCCCTTGTCATTGGTGATGGTGATCTTGTTGGCCTTTCCTGTGCTCTTGTCCATGGCTGTGACGTTGAGAATACCATTGGCATCAATGTCAAAGGTCACCTCAATCTGAGGAACTCCCCTGGGTGCAGGAGGTATTCCAGTCAGGTCAAAGCGCCCCAAGAGGTTGTTGTCTCTTGTCATGGCCCTCTCGCCCTCATACACCTGAATCAGCACCCCAGGCTGGTTGTCTGAGTATGTGGTGAAGATTTGAGTCTGCTTGGTGGGATAGTAGAGTTGCGCTTGATTAGGGTAGTCATCACACCTCCAGCTGTCTCCAACCCTAAGGATAGGGGAGCTACATCCAACAAAAGCAGATCCTGTACCTTTTCAGAGTTATCACCCATCAAAATAGCTGCCTGTACTGCAGCTCCATAGGCTACTGCCTCATCTGGGTTGATACTCTTGTTGAGATCACGACCATTGAAATAGTCCTGAAGTAGTTTCTGTACCTTAGGGATGCGGGTAGAGCCCCCTACTAAAACAATGTCATGGATTTTAGCTTTATCCATCTTGGCATCCCGAAGAGATTTTTCCACAGGCTCCAGAGTGCCCCTAAACAAATCTGCACACAACTCTTCAAACCGGGCTCTGGTGATGGATGTGTAAAAGTCAATGCCTTCAAAAAGTGAATCAATTTCCAGGTTGGCCTGTGTGCTGGACGACAGGGTCCTCTTGGCCCTCTCGCAGGCTGTGCGCAGACGCCTCACGGCTCGCTTGTTCTGGCTGATGTCCTTCTTGTGCTTCCTCTTGAACTCCTCCACGAAGTGGCTCACCAGCCGGTTGTCGAAGTCCTCCCCGCCCAGGTGCGTGTCCCCGGCTGTGGCCTTCACCTCAAAAATTCCATCATCTATGGTCAGGATAGATACATCAAATGTGCCTCCACCCAGATCAAAGATGAGGACATGTCGTTCTCCCTGACCTCCTTTATCTAAGCCGTAGGCAATGGCAGCAGCTGTGGGTTCATTGATGATCCTCAGCACATTTAGTCCTGCAATCACACCTGCATCCTTGGTGGCCTGGCGTTGAGAGTCATTGAAATAGGCTGGTACAGTGATTACAGCATTGGTGACAGTGTGACCCAAAAAAGCTTCTGCAGTCTCCTTCATCTTTGTTAGTACCATTGAAGAAATTTCCTCAGGATAGAAAGCTTTCTTCTCCCCTTTATAAGACACCAGCACCTTGGGCTTGCCTCCTTCATTAATCACTTGAAAAGGCCAAAGTTTCATATCTGACTGTACAACAGGATCATTATATTTCCTGCCGATCAGACGTTTGGCATCAAAGACAGTGTTCTGAGGATTCATGGCTACCTGGTTCTTAGCTGCATCTCCAATGAGCCGTTCTGTGTCTGTGAAGGCCACATAGCTGGGGGTGGTTCGGTTGCCCTGGTCATTGGCAATGATCTCCACCTTGCCATGCTGGAACACCCCCACGCATGAATAGGTGGTGCCTAGGTCGATGCCAATGGCTGTTCCCTTAGTAGTAGCCATGGTTTTCCAAGGCCTGTGTAGAAATAATGACATATTATTTTGGCAGAGTGCTTTTAATTTTATCTATCTGTTTAAGGTAGCAAATGATTTTACTGGAAGCCACTTATCAATCATTGGCTTTTCTAAAACATACAAACATAAGAATAAACACTGAGTTGGTGGAGTGGCTCAAAGCCTTAAGAGCTGCCTAGCAAGCATGAGGCCGAGTTCAAACCCCAGTGCCACCAAAAAAAAAAAAAAGGGTTTAAAACAAACAAAACTCACTAACCCTTACAAAACAGGAAGAAGTTCTAGAAAGAGAACCTGTAAATGTTTTCCTTTGTACCTAATATCTGTACTTCCTCACACTTTTTTTTTTTCTTTTTCATACTGGGGTTTGAACTCAGGGCCTCAACCTTGAGCTACTCTGCCAGCTCTTTTTTGTGATAGGTTTTTTTGAAATAGGGTCTCGAGTAACTATTTGCCTGGGCTGGCTTCAAACTGCAATCCTCCTGATGTCTGCCTCCAGAGTAGCTAGCATTACAGGTGTGAGCCCCCAGTGCCTGGCTACCCTGTTGTATTTCTTTAATGTCTACTGAATGTCACACGCCATTCAGTCTGAACTCTGCCCCACAATAAGTTTGAAATCTTGAAATCACTGATGACCTTAACTATAATCCTTTAATTTTTACTTTTTGACAGAGTCTTGCTGTTACCCAGACTGGGCTGTACTGGGGATCCTTTGGCCTCAGCCTCCCCCAAGTGGCTAGGATTACAGGCTACCATCACCCCTCCCCAACAGAACTCATTTTTTCAACATTAATTAAATTTTATTTTTGAGACAGGGTCTCTGAATTTGAATACTCTTAGTATCCCACATAAGTGGAATCTTACCATACTTGTCCTTTTGTGGCTTGGCCTATTTCACTTAGCAATAGTATCCTCAATTTTCATCCATGCTATGGCATGTTTTGGAACTTCCATTCCAAATGATGGTCATTACATGTATATACCACCTTTTGCTTACAAAGTAATCTCTCCATGAACACTTGGGTTGCTTCCACCTTAACACTACTCTTAATAAAGCAGCTATATTCAGGTGTATCAAGACCTTGCTTCCATAGCAGAGTGCTTATCAGACATGGTAGCCAGTGTTCTGAGTCACTCAAAGGAGGTAAAAGGAAAGTGGGTGTATATTGTCAATTTCTCACAAGGCAGATTCAACTATCCTGTTCCTATGTACTATATTTTACTGTGGGGTCATCCCTGTCTTCTGCTAAGATTAGATTGTGTTCTGGATCCCTAATGGACATTTAACTTTCACACGAATTCTGGTACCTTGCTTGCTCTCTGATTGATTCAGGCTGCTCTAAAGATGGCCCCTAGGAACCCAATCAAGATCTAACAAGATTCTCTCCCCCAACCCCCCACTGAAGCTTGAACCCAAGGTCTCTCCCCTTTGTTAGGAAAGCGCTGTAATTTGAGCCACACCCCTAGCCCTTTTTACTTTAGTTACACTGATCTCAGCTTCCACATAACTGGGCTTACAGAAGAGCCACCATGACTACCCACTCTTACAAAATTTCTAAGGAGTAGGGCACTACAAGCAAATTTCTCTACTTTTTATTTTTTTTAAATACACGATCGTGGTTTGGTCTTGAACTCACTGTGGAGCTCACGATGGTCTCCAACTTGCCATCTTCCTGCTTCCTACCTCAGCCTCCCCAGTACTAAATTACAGGTGTGGACCACCATCTGACATCTATCCTTCTTTTGAATATTATCCCTGTATTCTGGAGCCAATAACAACAGGAAAGGTCTTAGGGTCTTTTCCGCACCCACGCGCCCCCACCCTCAGCTCGTAGCCTGTACCCACAACTCTTTCTGGCAGCTCTGAATAATCCAGCCACACTATATTCCTCCAGGGATCCTCTTTCCTTGCCTCCACACTCAGAATTAAAACAACTAGGAAACTTGGAAGCACCTTTAAAAAAAAAAAAAAAGACCTATGGGTCTCATATATAACAATCAAAGCTCTCCTAACTCACCTATTCTCTCGCCGCCGTCGCTCCAGTTTGGAAACTTTAAAATTACTAAACTCCAGCAACGACCAAACTGCTCAGCTGGCGTCCCCCCACCCCCCACCCGCCCGGCCCTGCAACTTTGAGCGGGCACTGCCCTACTTACCCTGATCCCTAAATTAGCCCATTAAGTCAGAGACAGCAAAGCCATTGTAACGCTACTGCAAGGGACCGCGTCATCAGACCCGCCCCCAAACTCCTCACCGAGTCAGCATACACCTCCCCCCGCCCCCGCTTCAACCCCCCAGTCCTCCACACACCTCCAAGATACCACGCCAGTAATTCCCACTATATCACGCACAAGGGTTCTAGAGCCACAAGCCTACGTTGACCCTTCCTAACACTTCAATTAAGGGGTAGTCAGCCATCATAGCAGGGAGACCCAGTCAACAACCACCTCCCACATCCGGTCCCCTTCAGCCGCTCACGTCCCCTCCAGCGAACCCCAGAAGCGTCTGGAGAGTTCTGGGGAGGGCGGCACCCTCGCCTCCCATTGGTCCCAAGGAGGCCAGGGCAGGACTGGAGGCGAAACCCCTGGAATATTCCAGTCGCAACAGCCTCTCCGAGCACGGTGATTGGCTGAACAGGAAGCAGGCGGGGCTCGACGACGACTTATAAAAACCCCGCTGGCTGCGCGGCTAGGAAGAGCGAGCCTGGGTAACTGCTGGGATCTTCTCGGGGATTTTTGTCGTGAACCAGAGCGCTTTAACAGAGCGGGGTCTGTCGGTGTTGCAATCTCAGCAAGGATCGAAGCTTTCCTTAGCGGATCCCGTCGGCAAACTCCAACCAGAACCTCAGCGCGGAGCCGAGGAGAGGCTGCAGGACACCGACATGGCCAAAACCACGGCGATTGGCATTGACCTGGGCACCACCTACTCCTGCGTGGGGGTGTTCCAGCACGGCAAAGTGGAGATCATCGCCAACGACCAGGGCAACCGCACCACCCCCAGCTACGTGGCCTTCACCGACACCGAGCGACTCATCGGAGATGCGGCCAAGAACCAGGTGGCGCTGAACCCGCAGAACACCGTGTTCGACGCGAAGCGGCTGATCGGTCGCAAGTTCGGCGACCCGGTGGTGCAGTCGGACATGAAGCACTGGCCCTTCCAGGTGATCAACGACGGAGACAAGCCCAAGGTGCAGGTGAGCTACAAGGGCGAGAGCAAGGCGTTCTACCCCGAGGAGATCTCGTCCATGGTGCTGACGAAGATGAAGGAGATCGCGGAGGCGTACCTGGGCTACCCGGTGAGCAACGCGGTGATCACCGTGCCCGCCTACTTCAACGACTCGCAGCGGCAGGCCACCAAGGATGCTGGCGTGATCGCCGGGCTCAACGTGCTGAGGATCATCAACGAGCCCACGGCGGCCGCCATCGCCTACGGCCTGGACCGGACCGGCAAGGGGGAGCGCAACGTGCTCATCTTCGACCTGGGTGGGGGCACGTTCGACGTGTCCATCCTGACGATCGACGACGGCATCTTCGAGGTGAAGGCCACGGCCGGGGACACGCACCTGGGCGGGGAGGACTTCGACAACCGGCTGGTGAGCCACTTCGTGGAGGAGTTCAAGAGGAAGCACAAGAAGGACATCAGCCAGAACAAGCGAGCCGTGAGGCGTCTGCGCACAGCCTGCGAGAGGGCCAAGAGGACCCTGTCGTCCAGCACGCAGGCCAGCCTGGAGATCGACTCCCTGTTTGAGGGCATCGACTTCTACACGTCCATCACCAGGGCGAGGTTCGAGGAGCTGTGCTCCGACCTGTTCCGCAGCACCCTGGAGCCGGTGGAGAAGGCCCTGCGCGACGCCAAGCTGGACAAGGCGCAGATCCACGACCTGGTCCTCGTGGGGGGCTCCACCCGCATCCCCAAGGTGCAGAAGCTGCTGCAGGACTTCTTCAATGGGCGCGACCTCAACAAGAGCATCAACCCCGACGAGGCGGTGGCCTACGGGGCGGCGGTGCAGGCCGCCATCCTGATGGGCGACAAGTCCGAGAACGTGCAGGACCTGCTGCTGCTGGATGTGGCGCCCCTGTCGCTGGGGCTGGAGACGGCGGGAGGCGTGATGACGGCCCTCATCAAGCGCAACTCCACCATCCCCACGAAGCAGACGCAGATCTTCACCACCTACTCCGACAACCAGCCCGGGGTGCTGATCCAGGTGTACGAGGGCGAGAGGGCCATGACGAAGGACAACAACCTGCTGGGGCGCTTCGAGCTGAGCGGCATCCCTCCGGCCCCCCGCGGCGTGCCCCAGATCGAGGTGACCTTTGACATCGACGCCAACGGCATCCTGAACGTCACGGCCACCGACAAGAGCACCGGCAAGGCCAACAAGATCACCATCACCAACGACAAGGGCCGCCTGAGCAAGGAGGAGATCGAGCGCATGGTGCAGGACGCGGAGAAGTACAAAGCCGAGGACGAGGTGCAGCGCGACAGGGTGGCGGCCAAGAACGCCCTGGAGTCTTACGCCTTCAACATGAAGAGCGCCGTGGAGGACGAGGGCCTCAAGGGCAAGATCAGCGAGGCCGACAAGAAGAAGGTGCTGGACAAGTGCCAGGAGGTCCTCTCCTGGCTGGATGCCAACACCCTGGCCGACAAGGATGAGTTTGAACACAAGAGGAAGGAGCTGGAGCAGGTGTGTAACCCTATCATCAGCGGACTGTACCAGGGTGCGGGTGGCCCTGGGGCTGGTGGCTTTGGAGCTCAGGCGCCCAAGGGGGGCTCTGGGTCTGGCCCCACCATCGAGGAGGTGGATTAGAGAGAGGCCCATCCTCCTTTACCTTGTTCATCTTTGAGACAGACTTCTGGACTCCAGGATCTTGTTGTTGCCCTACATGTTACCTAATATTAATCCTCTACTCCTTGAGTTCATTCTGAAGTTAAATTGTAACCTGATGGTAACGGCTACTTGTCTTTATTGTATTTTTGTTGTATAACGGAATGTTCTTCATATTTAATGTTTAACGCTACAAGAGTATCTTTTGTTTTGTTTTCCATTTTTCTTGCTCTCTAAAAAATGAACCTTGCCACCCTGTGAGCAATATTTTGCTTTTTACAACAGGACAAAGTCAGTAGAATTTTTTTTTATATATTTAAAGATGAAAAATGATGAAACATCACGAGAGGGGTTATGTTCAGGCTGCCAAGGGAATTTCTGCATTTGGCCCTCACTGAGGAGGTAAATTAGAGACACTCCTTCCACTGACCATGTTTGTATTGGAGATAGTTGAGACTCCAGATACCGCTCTTCCATATTTCTTTTCTCACTTATGTTTGCAAAGTTGAATCTAATATTTTTTGTTGACCCGCTGAACTTGCTGTTGATCCAGTTCATAAATATGGAGGTGAATTTATACTGCCATCTTTTGTCAATTGTCTATTTCAATTACTGCTACTCAACTCTGGTTAACTTATTTTTGGTTATTTAAAAATAAATTTCACATTTCGAATGATATCTGCTTCTTTCATTTTGAGATCAGAAAGGTCTGCATAGGTCTTTCTTACAGTGTTGGAAATTGTATTTTTTTCCTCAGGTAAGGAAAGGGATCTGGAGAGCTAGGCATTTGTGGTCCATTTAAGTTAATTAAATATCTTTGGGCCAAACAAAGCCCTGCTGGTCCTGGGGGGTATAGCTCAGTGGTAGAATGCTTGCTTTGCATACACAAGGCCCTAAAATCATTCCCAGAACTGGGAAAACAAACAAACAGGCCCTGCTGTTTGAATGGGTTGAGCATGTGGGTCCAAAAAAAAGTCACCTGGTATGGTGGCCTGGGGCTGGTGAGGATATGGACCCATGTAAGGATGAACTCAAAAGAGGTGTGTGGGGGGAGTGGTAAGGGGGATGTTCTTTCTAAAATGAGAAGTAAAAGTGAGCAGATGAGGGTACAGCTCTTGTTTCACCAAATTCACTACTCTGATCACTAGTTTTCATCTTTTATTTTTAATTTTTTTTTTTTTCAATTTAAGGCTGGGTTAGTTAAGCTTCACTAGCCAAATAGAAGTGATATGTAACTTTATTTGTGGTGTGCTCTGTCACTGAGCTGCAACCTCAGCCCCAGGGGCTCACGCCTGTAATCCTACTTGGGAGGCTGAAATTGGGAGGATCAAAGTTCAAAGCTAGCCCCAGTAAATACTTCAAGAGACCCCATCTTCAAAAAAATAACCAAAGCAAAATGGCCTGGACGTATGGTTCAGGTGGTAGATTGACTGCCTTGTAGTTGAGAACCCCAGTCCTTCAGAAAAATAATTAAAAAATAAAGTGGAAGTTTTAGTTCAATTATTTGTTCTTAAGTTATTTCTGAAATAATACCAAAATAGAAAGTATACATAGTGTTGTCACTTAAATTCTAAGTACCCTAGTCAGTATGTTAGGAAGGTGTCACCTGACAATATGGTGCCTCAATAGCAGAAGGACCTTATTGGAGTGCTGTAATGTAGCAGGCACTGTATGGGGGCCTCACGCATTATTCTTTCTTTTTTTGCAGTACTGGGGCTTGAACTCAGGGCCTTGACCAACTCTACCAGCCCCTTTTTTGTGATGGGTTTTTTCAAGATAGGGTCTTTCAAACTACTTGTCTGGGCTGACTTTGAACCATGATCCTCCTGATGTCTGCCTCCTGAGTAGCTAGGATTACAGGTGTGCACCACCAGCTCCCAGCTATCATGCATTATTTTCTTAATCCTCATCTTACCTCACTTTTAGAGGCATCACTGACTTGCACAGGTGAACACAAAGGGAAACATAAATTAGGGCTTAATTAAAGTCACTTAAAAGGAACACTGGTTCAGCAAAGATGTTGAACCTGGATTCCAACTCAGGCCTTCCTGGAGGTGTTTGCCTCACTGCCCCAAGTCCACTGGATTTAGTTTAAGCTTGCCTGGTTATAGATTATATTTTTACATTAGGTTTTGCAATCAGTTACCCATTTTACCTTTATTATATATAATCCTAAACAATTATACCAGATATACAATAGCAATGATGATAAAAATTTAGTATTTGTTAATTTAGACCAGAGAGGAAAAACTCTGAAGCCCTGAACTAGGAAGACCTAGACACAGATTTCCCTATAGTGCACTTTTTTCCATTTTGAGATACTGCATTCCATAGCTGCTAGCATCCTAGAATAAATTGCCCCGAAGTCTTGCTGGAATGCACCTGCCACAATCTCTGAGCTTAGGTAATAAACCTTTTTTATTTTATTTTTTTGTAGTACTGGGGCTTGAACTCAGTGCCTACACCTTGAGCCACTCTACCAGTCCCTTTTTTGAGAAGGGTGTTTTCAAGATAGAGTCTCCCAAACTTTTTGTCTGGGCTGGCTTCAAACTGCGATCCTCCTGATCTTTGCCTCCCGAGTAGCTAGAATTACAGGCGTGAGTTACCAGTGCCCCTTTAAAAGTCAGTTGTAGAGCTGGACACTATAGAACCTATACTCCCAGCTACTCTGAGAGGCCTGAGGTGGAAAGATCCCTTGAGTCCAGGAGATGGAAGCCACTCTGAGTGACACAGGGTAAACTCCATCTCAAACAAACAAAACCCAAACTAGCTGTATCCTAATTTGAAACTAGGGCTGGGGATATACAATGGTAGGGCATGTGCTTATATGTGTAAGGCCATGAGTAAGGCCTGCCCTACATCAAAAAGGATTATTTTTGGAACTAAATAGTAGTGATGGTTGCATAACACTGGAGGTATTAAATACCAGTAAATTGCACATTTCAAAATGGTTATTGTGTGTGTGTGTGTGTGTGAATGGGGTTTGAAATCAGGGATTTATGCTTCCAAAGCAGGCACTCTACTGCTTGAGCCACAACTCCAATCCATTTTACCCTCATTATTTTGAAGCTGGTTGTAGAGAACTGTTTTCTCAGACTGGCCTGGAACTTCAATCATCCCTATTTCAGCCTCCAAAGTAGCTAGCATTACAGGCATGAGCCACCAGCACCTGGCTAAAGTGGTTATTTTTATTATTATTCTTCATTTATTCACATGTGCATACATTGTTTGGGTGCACACCAAACACCCACCAGGTTCCTGTGGCTCACTCCTATATTCCTAGCTACTCAGGAGGCAGAGCTCAGGAGGATTGTGGTTCAAAGCTAACCCACGCAAATAGTTTGTAAAACCCTATCTCGAAAACACCCAACACGTAAAAGGGCTGGTGGAGTGGCTAAAGGTATAGATCCTGAGTTCAAACCCCAGTACCACCAAAAAAAAAAAAAAAAGAGAGAGAGAAAGGAATAACCCAAAATGTGTGGTGACGCATGTAAACCCAGCACTTGGAGGCCAGCCTGGGCTACATAAATAGTCCCTGTCTCAGAAAAAAAAAAAACTGTCAGGTTTTTTTTGGTTTTTGTTGCAGTACTGGGGTTTGAACTCAGGACCTGAGTAAACACCTTCAGCCACTTAACCAGCCCATTTTTATGAAGGCTTTTTTTGAGATAGGGTCTCAGAAACTATTCTGGGCTGGGTTTGGACTGAAATTCTCCTGATCTCTGCCTCTTGAATAGCTAGGATTACTGACATGAGCCACAGGTGCACGGCTAGTTTCCTTTGAAGGTGAACTATCACTTTGCTTCAATAGAATCTACCTTCTGGCTGGGTGCCAGTGGCTGGTGGAGTAGCTCAAGGTATAGGCCCTGAGTTCAAAGCCCACTACCAGAAAAAAAATAGGAAAAAAAAAAAACTATCAACATTACATAAAAGTACTTTGTGAACTGATGTATACTTCAAAGTCCATCAAACCATTCATTAACCTGTCATTTGGGAAAAAAAAATCCAGTATTATGAGCATAGAACATACTGTAGCTTTACATACTGGTGGAGCTTTCCTTGGAAGTTTAGAAATAGAAAAGAAATCTGATCCAAGCCTAGCTTTCCTGCCAGTCAATGCAGACACATTGGCTCATGGTAGCTGAACTGTAGAACTATGGACTCTGGGCACAAAGTAAATCAATCTTCATGGGGCTATGCATTTGCTACAGGACCTCCTCCTCCCCTTTGGAGCTGCAGTATGAATAGAGTGACTCTAAACCAATAGCCACTTCCCACACCTTTGGGAAGGGTGGGGAGGATGTTGGTGAAGGGCAGAGATCAGGAATGATCAAATCAGAGATCAGGACAGAGGTTTAAAACCAGCCTGGGCAACAAAAGCAAGACCCTATCACAAAAGTTCCCAACACAGAGAGGCTGGCTAGTGGAGCAGCTCAAATGGGAAGCACCTGCCTAGCAAGCATGAGGCCTTGAGTTCAATCTCCAGTGCCTGCAGACCAAAAAAAGAGAGAGAGAGAAAGCTCTTTTGGTCAGATTAGTTATGGTCATTAGATATTTAATTAATAAATCAATACAATTTTGGAATTCTTGGTTTTCTTAAAGAAAAAAAAAAGTCAATATAAGTCATTACTTGCCTGAGCACCATAACAGAGAGTACATTGAAGATCACTTTGTGAGCGTCAGGAGATCAGGAATTGGAAAATTAGCAAAGAGAAGGCAGTGCCATCAATGGAAGAAGAAACTTTGGGAGGAGAGTATATAAGGAAGTATAACTGTAGGTGTGGATTTTTTTTTTGTACAGGGGGTTAAAATTAGGGGCTTGTGCTTGCTAGGCAGGTACTCTTCCACCTGAGGTACCCCAAAAATATTTTTTTTTTCTTTTTGGTGGGACTGGAGTTTGAACTCAGGGTTTCACATTTGCAAAGTGGGGCTCTACTTCTTGAACCACACATCCAGTCCAAGAATTTTTTTTTAAAAAGCAAATATTTTCCATGATTCCAATTATCTCTTGCCTTCCTAAGCCAGACCTCAGAAGGTGTAAAGCTATGGTAATAAGACACCTTTGCTTTTGAACCCAGGATATTGCTTTATCCGTAACATATGCTTACTGTTATTTCTAGTCTTTGGGGTTCTGTCACCCTCACAACAACAAAATAACTATTTTATACACGTGAGAGAAGTAGGAAGAAACAGGTTTTTGGGCTGAAATAGAAGATGGTGTAATTTCAGGGGAGGAGCCAATACTGGGACCTGTGAAAGTGTGAGCCTTACATAGAAATAAGAAATGTGACTGCCATCAGTCCTGAATCTACTCACCTCTACATCCCTCCAACAGAGTCTCC